AGTTTTGTTACCAGCCCAGGACACCTTAGCAGCCTGCACTGCCCTGCACTGCCCTGCACTGGGGAACGAAAGGAGTAGGATTCTTAGATCTCGCGAGGGGCCTCACATCCTGCTGCATAATTTCTGCTCTTGCCCCAGAGGTCATGACCTTGAACCTACCAATTGATAGAATTACCTTTTTGTTGTTGTTGTTTGAGCACATACCACATGCTAAGCATTGTGCTAGGCACGTGCTCACATGATCTCATTTACGCTTCCCCACAGCCGAGGGGTAAATGGCATTGTCCCTTTTTGCAGATGAAGGAACTGATGTTCTGAGATGTTATTAGTCTAAGGATGCCCAGGCTAAGGGGCTGAGCCAAAACTCGAACCCAGGTCTGATCTGCCCCCTGCACCAACGGCCTCTCCTGGCAGAGGCCGTGCCCCACACACACACACACACACACACACACACACACACACACACTTCTTTCTCTGCGTGCCAGGGGACAGCAGGGCACGACCCAGGAGTGGGCAGACCCGCCACCTCAGGGAGCACCAGAAGGTGACCCACATCGCCGTCCGGAGCTCTAGGACTCCTGGCATCTGCTGGCACCGTGCCAGGCCCTCCTGCTCCTCTTTCTCCTTTTCTTTTAGGACAAACAGATGGGTTTCTGTTGGGATCCTTGGCAGGTCAGTGCACTTGCTCACCCCCCAGTCTAGCCAGTGCCCTCCTTCCACTGGGCCCAGCGTGGGCATTCGGTTCTGCCAGCCCTGGGGCCGGGGGCAGGGGAGGGCGGTGAAAATGGTGGGGTGGATGGTCCTGTGGGCGTTGGCAGGATCGCCCTGGCCCTGCCCACTGCTCAGGGGGTGGTCGTGGTGGGGGGACTTCCTTGGGCAGGTCTGCCCATCTGCTCCCCCCTCCGCCGTGCAGAGATGCTTCCAGACCACCAACGGCTACCTGTCCGACTCCAGATCCTGCTCCAGCAGCTACCACGTGGCAGCCCTGGCCACCTCGTCCCTTGTGGGTAGGCGGCAGCTGCCCTCTCCTGCCCTTGGAGTTGCACGGCCCGCCCGACACTAGCTGTGTGTGTGTGTGTGTGTGTGTGTGTGTGTGTTTTGGGGGAGAGAGGGAGAGCGAAGCTGAATTGCAGCTGGAAGGATTGTGGCCCCATGGATTCACCATTTTCCAAATGCGAGGCTCCAAGAGCTGGGTCTGCAGGGAGTAGTGACGGGTTCCCGCCCCCATGGGTGGGATTGTCGGGGCCTCCAGCAGCTCTGAGGGGGACCGCCCGGGTTTTCAGATGTGTGCCTGGTGTGGCCTCCCCGCCCACCCGCTCTGCAGCGGGTGACATCTGCCTGTCACCGAGATGAGAATTGCTGTGTGAGTGGTTTACTGAGGGACTTGCTTTAGGGCCGTGGTCGGCAAACTGCGGCTCGCGAGCCACATGCGGCTCTTTGGCCCCTTCAGTGTGGCTCTTCCACAAAATACCACATGGGGGCGCGCACGTACAGTGCGATTGAAACTTTGTGGCCCATGCGTAGAAGCCGGTATTTTGTGGAAGAGCCACACTCAAGGGGCCAAAGAGCCGCATGTGCCTCGCGAGCCTCGGTTTGCCAGCCACTGCTCTAGGGCAACCTATAGGAGTGAGGGCAGCGGGACAGGGCGGGGGAGGAGCTTGGCAAAGCCTGGTGGCAGGCGTCTCCCCTTCCCCAGCCCCATCCATGGGAGCCCAGGAGTGTGAATCGCACTTCAGCCAGTTGGCTGGCTTGGCTGCCCCTGCCCCTCCGGCACCTCCGGGTGAGGCAGCTGCCATAGCTAAGGGCGAGCCTCCAGACAAGGGTGCAGGTGTGCCAGTGGGGGGTGGGCACGCAGGCCAGGAAAGGGGCCTCAACGGGCCCTCCAGCATCTGCCCTGCCTCCCGGCACAGCCTTCTGGGCCATTCTCAGCGCTCCCCTTGCCCACAGCTTTGCTCAGTGTACCTTGCGCTAGCCTTTCATTAGTCCCTCCTCCCTCAGGCCTCCCTGGCTCCCCGGGCCCTTGCTGCCCTCCCCCCAACATCAGCCTGTGCTGCTCCCTCCCCCTGAAACCCCTTCTCTCCACCTCCCCTGCCCTTCAGGGGCCACTTAGACACCTCCTCCAAAAACCTCCTAGTTGCCAACACTCCCCTACGTGGGGGAGGGCTCTCCCCTCCCTCCTCCCTGTGGTTTTCCTCTCGCTTCCTTTGTGGCTACTGTCTTTCTTGTGTTGCTGTTCTTTACGTCATGGCGCTGGAGCCCGGTGACTCCCAGACCTGTTGTCGGGCTTGACTGGGGAGATGCTGAATCGTTCTTGACAACCCTCTCTGTCAGCTTCCACATCCAACGTCTACTCCTAGGAACCCCTCAGGTCCCCGCTCCCCCATCTGCCCAGCCCTTGTCCCGTCTCCTGCTGGATCCCTTCAGTGGCCCCTAATGTCCCCCTGTCTCCACCCTGGGACCCTAAGCCCGGACTTAGGATGCTCTTCCTCAACTACAGATCTAACCCGCTCCCCTCCTGCCATCGCCCTGCTGTGGCTCCCCATTGCTCTCAGGACATCGGTGCCTCCGCCTGGCTCTCAGCCCCCAGTCTGGCCCCTGGTAGGCGCCCCAGCCTCTCCGCCATCCCAGCCCTGGTAACCCTGGAGCCACACCCGACTCTTCCATGCCTTCATCATCTCATCTCTGAAACGGCCTCTATCTGTCTAACCCAACCGCCTTCAAAGCCCCAATCCAGTCCACCTCTTCCAGGAAGCCTTCCCTGCCTGCAGTGCCCCACACAGGTCTCACCCACAGCAGAGCTGGCACTGGCCCAGGCCCAGGCAGCTCTCTCAGAACTGTATTCATGGAAAAGGGGAGGGCTGGGCGGGGGGGGCGTCTTGAGTGGATCCTTGAGCAGATCTTGGGCAGAAGGGTCTGAACTTGGTCGGAGAGAGAATGAGGGGTGTGGCGAGGCTGGGAAGGAAGCTCCCAGTGGACAGGAGCGTTGGCTGGGAGCAGGACCCCGGGAGGGCGTGGGGCAGGGAGGGGCACAGGCGTTGGCCGGGCTTGAGGAATCGGGTAGGTACAGGGCGTTGCTGGGGATGGGGCTGTGAGGATGCAGAGCATCGGTTGGGAACAAGGCATTGAATGGATGTGGGGTACAGGTCATTGGATGGGCCTGTTCTATGGGGGGGCCAGGGGTGTTGGGGTGGGGCTCTGAGCCAGGCAGTCACGCGACGGCTCTCACTGTCCCCAGGGGTGGTGCAAAGCATCAAGGACCACATCACGAAGCCCACGGCCATGGCACGTGGCCGCGTGGCCCACCTCATCGAGTGGAAGGGCTGGAGGGCCCAGCGGTCGGGCTGGGAGCTGTCCCCAGCCGAGGACGAGCACTACTGCTGCCTCCCGGATGAGCTGCGTGAGGCCCGCTTTGCTGCCGGTCAGTGGGGGGCGGAGCTCGGGACCCGCACTGGCCAGGGCTCTGGTCCTTGGGGGACACAGCATCACCACGGGGCATTGTCTGGGCAGGGAGAACAGTGCCTGGGGTGGCCAGGGCATTCGGTGGGCACTCTGATCACCAGGGCCTGCATGGACAGCCCAGGGCCCCCCAGGCTGTCGGGTGCCAGGCCATCCAAGCACTCTGCCGCCCCCTCCCCCCGCACCCCCTGCCGTGCCCTCTCTGAGCTGGTCCCGCTGTCCCCACAGGGGTCGCTGAGCAGTTCGCCATCACAGAGGCCACACTGAGCGCCTGGTCCTCGCTGGACGACAAGGAGCTGCACCCCGAGAACAGCCCCCAGGACATTGTCCAGCTGCAGGGTACCGCCCGAGCGGGCACCAGGGCGGGGGGAGGGGGGTGGCCGGCAGAGCTGGCGCTGCAAGCCGCCCTGTCACCAAATGCACTGTGACCTCAGATAAGCCCTTTCTTCCCTCGGTCTCAGCTTCTTCATCTGAAAAATGATCCTTGCCCTGCCCATTGCCAAGGGGTGCCGTGAGCATAAAGGAGAAAATAGTAGTAATAATAATAAATATTGTGAATTGAGGGCTTTCTGTGCTAGAACCCAGGGTTACTACTAAGGGCTTCGACGAGCCTGGGTCCTGGGTGAAGCCAACGTACCTCTGATCTCATTTAATCCTCCTCTGGCTGGAGGGGAGGGAGGCTCAGGGTGAACACCGGTTGTCCCAGTTCTCAGAGCGCAGGACTCGAAGCAGAGCCTGCTCCTAACTACACGCACTGCCCTAGTGAGAAACGGGCTCAGAGAGGCTCTGTGACTTGCCTAAGGTCACACAGCTTGGCAGTGACAAAGCAGGATTTGGAGGCCGGTCTTCTGCCCCTTGCCCACCCTCACACACCAGGGGAGGCAGAGGAGGGTCCCGGACTCTACCCCTCACCCCCACCTCCCTTTGGTTTTCCAGACCTGGACAGCATCTACCTTCAGGACAGTCTTCTGAGCGGCCCCTCGCAGGATGACAGCCTCCTGGCCTTCTCCTCCCCCGGCCTCTCCCCTGACGGCTGGCCCTCACCCGAGGAGCCCCCCATCACAGCTGCTGCCCCCCAGCCCTCCAGCCCTGAGCAGCAGCACCGGCCCCGGCTGCCCGGGGGCCCAGGGCCCGAGGGTGGGTCCTGCCTGCAGGGCTCCCTCCCCTCAGTGGACAGCGGCTCCCTCTCGGAGGAGGAGGACGAGGTGTTCTATAACTGAGGCCCAAATACACCCCCGTCTCGCCTGTGGGCAGCTTAGGCGTCTCAGGACGTGGGGTCAGGCTGGGCCTCTCGACCCTTCAGGGCAGGCACGGGGTGGGGAGGCAGGGGGCGAGGCCGGCACTCCCGTGGACCACTTCGTGCCTCAGTGGACCTGCCGCAGTGGGAGCCATAACCCCTCTCTCCCTTCTTGGCTCCTGTGGGCCCCTTCCCCCCAGCAGGGTTCCTGCCGCCCGAGCTCAAGGACTCAGCAGACACCAGGGCAGGCCCCCAGGCAGACAACCTCAAAGGGCCTGGGAGACCCACTTGCTGTGGGGCCTGAGGACCCTGCCTGGTCCCAGAGCCAGTCCCTCCCGCCTCCCTCTGTGCTTCTGCCCCATCAGAGGTGGGGTAGCCTCTTCCGGTAGCTAAGCATCTGCTCCTAAGTGGTCATCCGAGGACACCCGTCTCCATGGACTGTCTGTCTGTCCCTCACCCTCTGACCCTGGTGCCCCGGCTCCCCCTCCTTGCGCCCTCCTGTCACCTCCCTGAAAGCTCTCTGAAGACATTAAAGTGGCGGATTCACCCTGGATGGACTTGGCCTGGTCTCTGCTGGGGAAACCGTGTCCTTGGGGCTCCTGGGCCGAGAGGGTCTAGCCCAGAGGTTCTCAACCTGTGGGTCGCGACCCCTTTGGGGGTCAAACGACCCTTTCACAGGGGTCGCCTAAGACCATCAGAAAACACATATATAATTACATACTGTTTTTGTGATTAATCACTATGCTTTAATTATGTTCAATTTGTAACAATGAAAATACATCCTGCATATCAGATATTTACATTACGATTCATAACAGTAGCAAAATTACAGTGATGAAGTAGCAACGAAAATAACTTTATGGTTGGGGGTCACCACAACATGAGGAACTGTATTAAAGGGTCGCGGCATGAGGAAGGTTGAGAACCACTGCTCTAGAGGGACTCAGGGAGGGCCCCTGCCCCTCAACACGCATACAGCTGGTCAGTGTGCTACCCCCCAGCTGGGAGAGTCCCCACAGGAGAGACTGTCCGGGGAGCCGCACCCGGGGGCCTGCACCAGCAGCCCTGGCTCAGCCAAGGAGGAGGCTGGGGCTGGGAGGAAGGTAGCTGGGCCACAGGGTCCTGCTTATACATGAGGATGAGCAGTGTAAGGCCTGGTGGGGGACCCACTCTCCCCATATCTCCCTGCCAGGAGGAGTGGGAGACCAGGACCCCCGGCCTGCACTGCCCACCTGACCACAAGCAGCCCCAAGAGCTTGCTCAGCCAGCACGGGAAGAAGCTGGGGTGCCACGTGAGTGCCCTTGGAGCGGAGATGGGGGATGAATTGCAGCTCTGGGAAACGGCTTTATTTCTCTCAGGAGCCTCTGGTTGGGCGTCGACCCCAGAGGGGATTGTGCCTGCCCTTGGTGACAGCATCCATCAATCTCATCAGTCATTGGTGAATTTGACGGACAAGAGGTTTCCTGCTGTCTTGCATTCTGAGCTCGGTCCACGGTGGGATTTGTCCTTCAAGGCAGGTGGCACTTGTCCCACCCAGGATGGGACATGGTGACTATGGAGCCCTCTGAGGTGCAAGGTCAGAGCTGCCTGTTTCACTGAGGAGCTGAGCTGGGCTGGGGGGAGGGCAAGCTGTGGTGGGCAGGGAGGCAGGATGCCTGCCCCATCTGCTTCGCCAGGGCACTTAGGTGCCCCGGTTCGTCTTGCCAGGCTGGCTCACTTTGGGGCCGGTGGGTTTGTCACGTTGGAAATGGCTTTCTTCAACTAAAACAGAGAAAGGGGAGCTTTTGGGGGGAAGGATGTAGAGGAGGTTGCGAATGGGGGCTCCAGTGTTGTTGGACTCCCCTAAGGGTTGATTCTGGGGTGAGTGTTTGAGTCAGTGCCTCCCCATTGCACGGATGGGATCACTGAGGCCTAGAGACTGGCAGGGCTGGCCACTGGTCATAAAATAAGGTAGGGTAGCCAGGCCCAGTGGCCACTTTGGGCCAGGAAGTGGGGCTCATCAGAATCCCACGAGGCCCCTCAAAATTTGGATGGGAGGGTATTGGTGCCTTCCACCTCCCCAGTCTTGGGTTGGAGGTACCAGGGCCCCTCGACTCTGCTCCACCCGGGGGACCCTGGTACCTCCACCCAAGACACGGTGCCCACAGCTCTGCCTCGAGACGTCACGAAGAGGGACTGAAGGTTCAGCAGCTCGAAGAGGTTGTGTGCCTGGAGGAAGGGTGGGTAGGAAATGCTGGAGGACAGGTGGCACGGCACCCACACCGCCCTCTGGCTTCAACTTATCCCTAACCGGAGGCTTTGAGCAGAGGTGGAGGAGCGGTACCCTCGCCTCCACGTCTCCCACCCGGGAAGGGAATGGTGGGTGGAAGACCAGGACCTGAGCCTGCAATGTCCAAAATGACCACGAGGGGTCGCCAGAGTCCACACAAGGAACCAATGGGGAAAACCTGTTATCCAGCAACAGTGTCACAGAGGGGTTGGGACCACCCCCAAACCCCCAACCGGCTTCTTCCCCTCCCTGACCCCGTGTTCCAGGCTCTGTGCTTGTGTGGGGGAGTGGGAGGGTATCAGCACTCAAAGGGATTAAATAATTTTCCCAAGATCACACAGGGAGAAAGCAGTGGATCTGAAATTGAAACCCAAAGACATAATTCAAACACTGCCTCTCTCCACCCAGAGGATTCTATTATGTAAACCCTCTCACTTCCCTAGCCTTTGCATCATCCCAACAACTCTGGGTGTGGGGTTCGGAGAGGGCAGGAGCTGCTCTGCCCGTTCTGCTGATAAGGAAGCGGCCCAGGGGGGACAGAGCCACGCTGGCTGCATGTAGGGAAGGTGTAGGGAAGGTGGAGCCGAAGTTTCCCTCTCTGGTCTTCCCCTCTACCCCAGGGTCCTTGTGCCCGTGCCTGAGTCCTCCCCATTACCTCGTGCAGGGAGGTCTCTGGAGACAGCTGCAGGGTCACTGGCTCCATGGGGCAGCCCCCAGCCAAGATGTCCTGGAGATAGTGCTGGGGACAGGGAAGGGTTTTGGGAGCCTGGGCCGGCCTCCCTCTCCCCCAGGCTGCCCCGCTCAATCCTCCTCTCCCACAGATCAGCTGTCCCCTCCACTCCCACCCTGCTGACTCCCCAACTCCCCCAACACCCCGCATGAGTACCACTTGGTGTCCTGGAGCCCAGGAAGGTGGCTCAGCCTGGAGGGCCTGCAGCAAGTGGGCCCTTCGCACGGTGCCCACCAGGATCTGAGATTCTGGACAAGCGGAGAGGGAGAAAGCTGAATTATGAGGCAGGAATTTGCATTTCCTGGGCACCTACTACGTGCCAATAACTGTGCTAGGTGGGGCCTGCAGCAAGTGGGCCCTTCGCACGGTGCCCACCAGGATCTGAGACTCTGGACAAGCGGAGAGGGAGAGAGAGAGGAAGAAGGAGAGGGAGAGGGAGAGAGCTGAATTATGAGGCAGGAATTTGTATTTCCTGGGCACCTACTATGTGCCAATAACTGTGCTAGGTCTTCTTGTGTCTCTCAGGAACGTACAGCAGCCTGTGGGTCAGGAACTATTGTCACCCATTTTATAGACGAGGAAACTGAGGCTTAGCAGCACAGAGGGGCTAATTGTCTTACCGGAGGTCACTCAGCTTCTGACATGGAGGTGTGGTAGCCAGAGGAGGCTAAGGCTGCTGGGGGCCAGGAGCGAGTCTGCTCACCCTGAGGTCCCCCACGTGGCAGGCCTCAAAGCAAGAGCAGCTTTGGGACACCTGTGCCATAGGGCGGGGTTTTGTTCCCCCCTCCCCACAGGAAGATTCCCCCCTGGTTCAGCCCAGTGAAGGCAGGCACCCGGGAGCCCACCATGTTCTGAGGTCCTACTGTGTGTTGGGGGCTTGGCAAGTCTCAATCCAGGCTATCGCTGGACTTTGCAGGTACTCGGTTTTGAGGCAACAGCCTGATAGTTTTGCTTCTTATCCAGTAAAGTAAAAACTTTACAATTAGACCTTTACAAACAAACACTTAAAGCTATTTCTTGAGTGATCAGTAGGGTCCCACGGCCCAGGGCTGCGGGTTGGGAGCTTTTTGCCTCCTGTGGCTCCGAGGGTGGCGTGGACTTTGTCTGGAGGCCAGTTGTCTTTGTCCCAGGAGGGGAGGCCTCTTGGAAGGGGTCTCCTCTGCGAACATGTTCAAGGGGGACCTTGGGCATGTTCTGTGGGACGATGTAAGGGCTGCCCCAATTTGGGTGGGGACACCGCAGGTCGTAGCGTGGTTTGCCCCTGACGCTGCGGCTCACAAGTGGCCCAGGCCTCTTAGGGTGGCTATGGGGGCGGTTAGGACCCGTATGGTTGTGCAGGTTGCTCACTCGATGAGGTACCTGCCCAAAGGACAAGCAGGGACCAAAACCCAGCTGTGCCACGCTTGCCAGGTGTGCATCCTGTCTCATGTGCACAGAGGGGACATAAAGGTGACAGTGGCCGTGAGTGGACATGGCTGTACTCCCCCCGACTTTCCTTTCCCACTCGCACTGTACTTGCCAGTGGAGAACGATGCTCTAGCCAGATGCTTCCCCAAGACCCCGCTTCTGTGTCTTCTAACAAGGGCCCCATTCATCCTTCTTTACAAAGATGCTCTCAGGGATTGTGGCGGGGACTCGGCGGGGCAGTGTTGGAAGGGGAGGCGGATGAAGGAACCCTTTGAGACCCTGGTAGCGCCCCATCACCCTACCCCCACGCCCCGCACACCAGGCCTGGCCTCTAGAACCCCCAGGTCTGCCCTGGAGAGCTTCGCAAGCGCCCTCTCATCTCCCGTGGCAGCACAGAAGCCACCCCAAGCAGGCTGGTCAGTCTCCATCTTAACAACGAGGAGGAATCAGGCTCAGGGAGGTGAAGTGATTCCCCAAAAGGCACCCAGTTACCGAGCCCGGATCCAGATGTAGGGCCAGTGCCCTGCTTCCCCTCTCCTGGGCCTGCGCCACCAAGAGGAGGTGGAGGGAAGGCCTCTCCCCATCCCCCTCTTCCTGCTGAGCACCTGTGCTCTCCTCCAGGGGGTACTCAGCCTTGTCTGTGGAGGTGATGACCTTGACCACCTCCTCCAGTGGCATGTCCTTGGCCAGCGTGGTGATGCTGCAGTTCATAAAGTGCTCCACAATGACGCGGTGAGAGCTGCAGGCAGAGGGGTGCTCCCGTCAGGTCCTGGGGTGAGGGCACGAGGCGGGGTATCCCAGAGGGAGAGTTGCTGGTGCTCCAGTGTGGGCACAGACTGAGAGGTTCCCGGAATGAGCAACACCTGGAGCCCCGAGGTCGAGAGAGGCACCTGGGGACCGGCTCACCTATGGTCTGGCTCTGAATTCTCGCCCCACCCC